TAAATATTTAATGAAAAATGTGTAGGGTGAATGAAGGTATATGGAAGAAAGCATTAGTTTTCATTATCTATCCCTTACATTATTATACTGTATTTCATTTTCCTCCACAACATTCTGCCAAGCTATTGGTACACAACACGGTTAGTGTAAACCTCGTGCTTTCCATTAACTATGTATCAGGGAGAAATAAAGAACAGATCGTCAGTGCTTACTGTATGAGTATCAGGAAGAGTGCCGGACATTTTTTAACACTGCCTCATTTACATCCAGGGTTTCCAGAAAAGAAAGCTTTCTTACTTCTATGTCTAAAAAACATGGAAAAGATGATAGAGTTACAAATTTTTGTAACCAAAGGAGAGTTATATTTAGACACAGTTAAATTCACTGTCATAATCTTGCAGCTGCTACTGTCGCCAGAAGCTGCCCACTGCTGGCCATAGTTGACCGAACAGTACTCTTCATCGTCACTGTCAACTGCCAGCCCTTAGGCTGCTTCTCTCTTGAGCTGTTTGTACAGAGTTTCAAAAACACCAGGAAACTTTTATACTCTGAGCACTGAAGAGAAATAGTTTGGCTCTAAGGTCCCTTGTCTTCCCAGGGTATTGCAGGATACAAACCTAGACATTCAGGAAGCTAAGGCAGAAGTGTCACAAGTTCAAGGCCAGCCTGAGATATATAATGTGATCCTATGGCCCTCAAACAAAACAAAAGCAAGAATCTCCCCCAGAGAAATATTCCATGATCCTTACTTACCAGGAAAGTAACTTTGATACCATAATATCAGGTCTTCTCCATTCAGCGGGAGGATGGGGAACTTGATGAGAGCCTCAACCAGAAATATACAGGTCGAAGCATCTTGTATGGCAGACACTCAGCCTTTTGGGTGAAAAGCAGTCAGTGTAATGGAAGCCATGGAGCACTTTGGGCCTAGGAATGAACAAGCCAGAGAGGAGATAGCACTGCCAACTTCATCTGATTCATTTATCTCAGCTGCAAGACCAACCCTTCTGCAGCTCAGAGCTATACTCTCTCACCCCACTTTCTTGCAATACCCTGTAACTTTTGTGCTTGTTCTCTAGGTGTTCTTCCAGCTCCGTATGCTCCTTAGTTCTAATTGCATTATAGAGTTAGGTTTATGATCATATAACAAGAAGCTGCAAAATATGTGTACTGTTGACTCAGTGCAAATTATACAATAATTTGTTTCTCCTTTGGCTTTTCAGCATGCACCCACAGCCTTAGCGAATGTTGAATATTATGTTCTGTTGTTTATTATTCTTTTTCTCTTATAAGAATGTGGTGCAATTTGTTTTTACATAGAGTGTACTCTGTGTTGCTTTACAGAGACTGCATGGTGCCAATCACTGCTGACTGCTGAAGCATTCTTGCCTTCTGCTGATCTATGGGTAATACAAGATACCTCCGGAAGACATTTCTCTGAAGTTATAATCGGATATGCTATGGACTTTTATCACAAGTCATCCCAAAGCAAAGTGTCATGGGTTTTACTGCAGTCACAAGAAATGCAAATTTGATCTGGTGTGACAAGTTGAAAGCTCTATTCAGCTGCCAGTGTTACAGAAGTAGTTCACTGTTTGGGGCATTGATTTGAGTAACTACTTTCTTTGGCAGTGTAGGGTAAGTGCTTGCGGACATTCTGCTGTTCTTGTAAGTCATCCTCCATCATGTTTATCTTCTTACTGAAAAGAGCTCTGACACAAATGCTGTGTGCTCCTGAGACTCATCTAAGTGACAGGGTAGTTCTTTGTATGGGTCCCTGTCTTAAAATTAGCTTCTACCCAAGAACACGGTATGGGCTTAGAGTTGGGTTTTTGTCTGACACCTTACTTTTGCTCATAAGGGAAAGTTATCAAACTCTGATTATGATTTATCTGACCGTTAGGAAGGAGCTCCACAATAGAATGATGTTGAAGAACAATCAGCCAGTAGAATGTTTGAGTTTCAGTTTGAAGTGGTAGCTTTGATGTTTTGGACAAAGAACTTTACTTTTTCTGTTGGTTTTAAAAGGGAAAATGATAATAAATAATTTTATCAAATTATTATGGGTGAAGTCAATGCATGCGGAATTTTTGGCATGATGTATATTACTCAAAAGCTGAAGCCTTCAATAAACCAGTGGGATGAGTGATCCAGACATGGAGGAGAAAGACACAAACCAATGAAACAAGACACGTGCCTAAGGCCACATACTTGCAGAACTGAATTCAGAACAGTGACTCTTATTTTGGCTTGTGAAATAATACATTGCTTTGCTTGCTTAACTGAGTACATGTGTGTGTACATAGTGGTTGACTTTGAAATGTGATGTTTGGGCGACAAATGTAACTATTGGGCACGCCCATCACATTAGTAATGAGAAAATAGAGCTATAAAGAGAGGGTGATGCCAGGTATTGGTGATACACGCCTTTAGTCCCAACACTCGGAAAGCAGAGGCAGGCAGATCTCTGAGTTCAAGGTCAGCATAGTCTACAGAATGAGTTCCAGGGCAGCCAGGACTACAGAGAGAAACCCTGTCTCGAAAAAAGCAAAAAGAAAGAAAGAAAAAAGAGATTACACCTACAACTTCACAATCTGTTGTGCAGGCCTGAGAGTAACACACATCAATATTTGCAAATATATCTACATCAGAATGGAACCCCCCCTCAAAGAAAACTTTATACTTTTGTACATAACTTGCTCTAGGTTAGGACTTCATAAAAATCTGAGCATTTGCTCAGAAACTTCTGTTTACAGAAAGAAATTAAGATACCTAGCTTGCAGAGCCTATTAATGTTAATGAACATGTTGCAAGAAATGTCCTTAGTACAGAGCCAGGCACTATACATTTCTAGGAGGTTCTTCAGAACTCTGACTATCTGCCCTGTCTCCATTTGTTTCCCTTCACCAAAACCGTGCTGCACAGAATAGGGGGCCTGCAACAGTGCACAAAAACAAGGCTCTAGAACCGGAAGGCACTAGAGCAATGGAGATGTTACAAAGAAACAAGTTACCGGAACAGAAACTGGCTGTATCTCCAATTTCTCACCTGAAACCCTTGGTACATCAGTAACCAGATGTGGCTAAAAAGTATCAGGTGCTAGGAGGATGTTTAAGAACTAATGCATCATTTTCTTAGTGCACAGGGCATTTAGCAGGTGTCTCTTCTGTTCACTGTGTGTAGACTGGCGTGCCTTACATTAACATGCCTGTCTTTGTTCTTAATTCAGGCTGACTAACATTCCCCCATCCTCTGTTACTGTCATAGGCCTGCCATTGAGGCTCTTTAGTGTCCCAGTGCCTAAAGTTACATTCCACTCTGTAATTTGGACTTAGTGTCTGATTCATGAGATGCAGCGCAGATGCCTTTGAAGACCACCGGTGTCCACAGAGAAGCCCGCTACATGCTCACACTGAGCTAGTCCTTAGGAAACAGTTACAGGTGCTCCATAAATACCCCTTGATGTTTTTGTCACCTTTTAAAAGGTTGCGTGGAACGCCTTTTGCATACCTATATATGTGTTTGTTACACAGAATATAGGCAAAGGTGAACTAAACAAGCCAAACTTCTGCCTTTGTCTGGCTTGAGGGAGGTGGGGGAAATGAATTCAAGGTACATGGCATAAAGCTGTGGATGCTTAGATAGATGGCCCCACCCGTGGTGAAGACAGGCAGCATCTGTTTTGTAGTCCTATTGTGCTAAGATTCTGAGAAGAGCAGAAAGGCACTTTGAGTCGCGTCAGTTGGGTAAACAATGCATTTCTGAAAGGGACCAAGTTAAATCAGGGCATGGTTTACTCTAGACTTAGGCTGTGTGCACAGTTGTAAAGGGAACTCTATGGTTGGGAGATTCTGTATCAAGTATCAACACGTGGGTCAGAGTCATATGGCCGGATGTGAGGGGAGGCGAGAACCACGTGCACGTATTAGCACACGCACACGCTCAGGTCAAGTCTGTGGAGATAGGGAACACGGAAGGCAAAGCCATTGCCTGAGTTGTTATTTTTTTTCTGTTGGTTTGTTTGTTTGTTTGTTTGTTTTGGAGGGAGCGGGGGTGGTAAATGTAGGCTTGTGTGTTTAAGGGATTCTGAGAGGTCACTGTGTGAGGTATAAGCCTGGAGTTTGTCCTGATGGACAAGGTATCAATTATAAACACTTTGCACCATAAAAGGTGGGAATGTATTCTTGTCTGTAATTCAACGTAATTGTGTCCGAGGCAAATTAAAGTTGGGTAAAATCAAAGTCTGCAATGGCCTACGTGACTTAAAGAATGGGCTTCGGTGAGATGATTACAGATGTTTGTGGTTGCCAGTAAAGTTAGAGGATTTCCCCTCGCATCCGGCGTGCATGTATGTACGCATATGCTCAAGCCGAAGGTCTATGCGTAACCCAGTTCAGGAACTTCCTGTGTGAAGGTGAAGGCTCTTGAGGCAGATTCTGGAATCCCATGTGATTCTGAGACTGGATGAGGCAATCTAGGCTGTGGGAAGGACCAGGCAGGAGTCTGTGGGATCTTTGAGTAGTTAATTTTCAGATTCAAACATCTTGGGCAATTTACTTTGTGTCAACAAGAGGATCAAAAAGTGTGTGTGTGTGTGTGTGTGTGTGTGTGTGTGTGTGTGTGTGTGTAAGCCAGAAGTTCAAATAGGCAGAGTTTATGTGTCCGTGCAGCCAAGGTTTTCAGTCTGAATGTTTTCTGAATTGTCTATAAGTATGTATCGAGCGCGCAGAGCTGGTGAGACCGAGGAGTGTGTGTGTCAGTACGTGCGCGCGCCACAAGTCTGGATTTGAACTTGGGACACGAGCTGAGGCCGCGTTAGGGCGGGCGGGCGTCCCGGGGGCGCTCGGAGCCGGGGCTGCGGCTCTCCAGAGTGGCTGGTAGGGGCCGGGCGGGAACCGGAGCAGCACTGCCGCCTCTGGCGCGAAGGCTCAGGCGCCTCCTCCCAGCCCATCACTGTGGCCGTGTGCACGCCGCCGGCCGCCGCTCTCTCCAGCCGCTGAAGAAGAAAGCCCGGGAGCCGCTGCCTCCTGGACCATGGCTTCTGGCCGCAGGGGCTGGGACAGCTCCCATGAGGACGACCTGCCCGTGTACCTGGCCCGGCCGGGCACCACGGACCAGGTCCCCCGGCAGAAGTACGGCGGCATGTTTTGTAACGTGGAGGGAGCCTTCGAGAGCAAGACGCTGGATTTCGATGCCCTGAGCGTGGGGCAGCGCGGCGCCAAGACTCCGCGGAGCGGCCAGGGCAGCGGCCGCGGCGCGGGGAGCCGGCCCGGGCCGGAGGGGGACGCGCGCAGGGTCCCGGGCCGGGAGGAGAGCAGGGAGCCCGCCCCGGAGCCGCCCAAGCCCGCCGGGGTGGAGATCCGGAGCGCCACCGGCAAGGAAGTTCTGCAAAACCTCGGTCCCAAGGACAAGGTAAGGGAGCCCGGGGTCTTCTCCTCCCCTGGCCCTTGCCCCCTTCTCAGACTCAGCCGCCATGGCCCGGCTACAACTTTCTTGCTCACACTTTAAAAGGCGACTGGGCTGAGATAAAGAGCATCCTCACGGGCCCAGCGTTCTCACGTGTCCCCAACTGTAGCATCTTCCTGTGTGCACTGCGAGGGTCTCAGCCCGGGTTACCCTAGCCACCGTGCTGCACCCCTGGCCGAGTAATTCTGGGTGGGTGTGTCAACCCTGCCAGTCTGGAAGGTTTAGCGATTTCCAGACTCTCCCTCGGAGGAACCAACAGCACAATTGTTCTAGTCGCCCTCGCCCCAGATTAAACCTCAATCCAGGTCACCAGGGCAGAGGGCAGACTGGCGTTAAGAAAATGGGGTCATTTCTATAGAGTCTGGATTAAAGCACGGGGCCAGCCGACTCCTCTCTGATTCTTCTGAAACTTTTGGGTGTGGGGCCACTGAACACCAGAATCTCTGTGTCTCACTTCTGTTGTAGCATGACGCCTCACATCTGTGTTTATGAAGAGTGTATTTGTGTACATAGCATGGGTCTCAAGGGATGCAGCTGTCTCTGTAAAAATATTACATATTTGAAAATAGACGGGAGCATTAAGAGTGCATATTAAACTAGCACGGGCTGCCAGCCCCCCGCTGCTCTGACATGTGTCAAAGCTAATTCCTTCTGTGTGTGTTTTAGAGAAACTCACGCCATTCTGAACTGTCTGACTTACTACGATACTTTATGTGTTTATTTCACAGAAAGCCGAAGGCATGATTTAGACAATTCAGGGCTAGTGCCTGGCTGGAGGAGTCAAAGTTCAAATCGTAGGGTTTGAGTTGGGGAACAGTAGTAATCAGATGACCTCACCCCGGTCTATGGAATGGCTGCAAAGTCCATCCCCCATGTATTATTCCTCACTAATGCCATCATGAATAATATCCTGCAATGGAAATGTCTGCTTCACCGTGATTACCGTTAATACTCATCCTGTGCTGAGCTGTTTTTCCATTAAAATGCAATGAGGTAGTGAAAGGACAGCTTATCTCTTCCTGGTTCGATTTTTGATAGTTTAAAAAAACAAAACAAACAAACAAAAAAAACAACTTTAAAGTACTGTTAACAACCAGGGAAAACAAGACCCAAAGCTAGTGCTGTGTAGAGGCACCTTTTGTGAGGCAATGTCAGTATCTTTTGGAATTACTCATCTACTTCATGATTTTTCTCATCCTTCTTTGAGTATGAGCCTCCTGGCCCTTTTAGGGAAAGCTTCTGGTATTTTAGAAAGGTTTTGGCAGATTTCTCAGCTGAAGAATAGCCCTCTATAGGAAGGTAATTGCTTCTTTACATGTCTAACTTCATCACTCTTAAAATGTTCCTTTCCTGGCACAAAGCAGGGCAGGAGGAGTGGAAAAGGTCAGAAACAATTGCTGTGAGTCAGTGTATCCCCTTGCTGGAACACCCCTGATGTAAGCCAGATGATATGCTTGCTTTGCAAAACTGAAGCATGGCAACCAGAGAAAGGAAAAATGTTCTTCCTTTAAACCCAGCAATTCTCTCATTTTGTTTCCTTTCACAGACTCTGTACTTTTTGGCTCCTAATTGAAAAAATAATAATACGACTTAGACATCGGCAGGGGTTTCTAGAGCTACATGGGTTTCTAAGTTCAGGCTTGCTGTCTGCTTCATGCAGTCCATGCTATTATCTCTAATTTTCTTTAATCACACCATTTCAAACACACACACACACACACACATACATGAGGTTATCTAGTGTTGTACTTGAGGGTTATTCATGTGAGGCTGTGGACTGTGTGTTTGGATTTATCTCTGTGCCTGGGATGCCTGGCACATTGGAGGTGTTTAGGACATGCCTGATTTAAAACTACTTATTTAGATCATCTCTTATGCTAGACTGGCACAAAATGACATCTGCACTGGTGTAAACACTGATGTCATCTCCGGGGAGCTCACTACCTCGTGAAGCAAGTTCTGGACATCTTAGAGTAGAAACTTAACCAACTTAGCTACCTATATAGTAGCTGCAGGTTGTTCCTAGTTCTCCTCCTAGCAGTTCCTTATTCAGAGATATTTAAAAGATTTCAAGTATATAGGTTTGGCTCTCATGTCTGTCTGGAAAAAAGGGGAGGGACAATGGCATAGTAACAAGATCTAAGCCTCAGTGGTTTAACAAAACAATAACAACCTGTTTGTTCATTTGTTCATTTGTTTTGTCTTGTTTTGTCACCTCCCAGTTTTCTATAAGGGTCAAAAGGGAAGTTCTGTTCATTATTGTCCTTCAGAGACCATTTCCACACATAAGCAGTGGGAACAGTTTATACAGACACTGAAACTTTCTTGCAGAAGCAGTGAACGTCAAGGAAGCTCACTTTTCATAGCTAAGGTAAATGGCTTTAGAGAAACTAGAGGAATATGCTTTTACCACAATTCTGTAAGGCTTAAAATAATTTATAAGCAGTTCCAGTATCGGTCCAAAACCTAAGATAGATGAATGCGGGAAAATTTGGCTTTAGCCCCTCCCCAACAATATAACTTAGGCTTGTAACTAAGAGTCTTTCTGCTCTTACTTTGTAGGTTCTCATCTACAAACTGATACTAACAGTGACTACTTTATTTATAGTAGAACTTAGCATATATTAATTATTACATAACTACGTAACTTCATTTCTCTTTATATGTTTGAGGGCCATCTCTGTCTCTCTACCATGCACATGCATGCACACACACAAGCACAGATGCAAGCACGTCTGTCTGTCTGTTTCTCTCTCTAGTCTGACTCTGGCTTCCCCTTGGGTCTTACTCTATAGCCCAGGATAGGTAGGAGCTCATTTTGCAGTTGAAGTCCTTAAACTCGTGAGGACCTTCTTGCCTCAGCCTACCCATGCTTGGATATGAGTGGGTTGTCTTCAGTAGTCTTGCTATCCTTCTTCCCGTATGAGCATCTCACTGTTGTGATTTCTTTCTCAGGCTATGCTGTGTTGCATAGATTTTTTTTTTTCTTCTGAAAAGACAGTGCCTTGGCTTGAGAGCTGAACCTGAAGGTCCAGATGGGATGCAACCATTGCAAAGCGCATTAGGCTGCTTAATTTTCTGGATTTGCATGCAGCATATGCTTGTGCCGTACAAGATTACAGCTGTTGATTAAGCGTCTGTGTCTTACAGTCTTTGTAGGACACTCCTTGTTACTCAAGCTTTCAGAAACTCTTTCCCAGAAGCTTCTGTGACACTGGAATGGCCCATTTGTTGCTGGTTCTGATTTTCCTCCTTGTGGATTCACCACTACCACTCTTGAAGCTGTATTTACGACACCACACTACCAGCTTTGTGTCACCTATAGACTTTTAGTCTTATATAATGCCTGCATTTATTTTTCTAAAAAATTCTTGCATGCTTAAGGAAGTTGAAACAGACACCAAATAATCCCAGATCACATTGATGAGAAGTAGAGAGAACCAGAATCTAACTCTGACTTTTCTGATCAGTGCTTTTTGTACACAGTGGGCAGCGTTGTTTTTGTTTTGTTTTGTTTTGTTTTGTTTTTCAACAGCCTGAGCATTGTGCCAGCTCCTGACATGTAAAGATAATGCCAGGTAAGAACAGATCTTCCACCAAGACCACTAAAACACTGCTATCCTGGCACCCACTCATTACTCAGACAGCTTTGAGATGAGTTGCTCAACCTATGAGAACAGTTGACCCAAGATCCTTATTTGTTGATCTGAATCTATTAAGAGATTATTGAAGAGTATGCCGATAAAAAAGCTACATTTTGTCTGTGACATACTGTTACCACACCCTTCTTAAGGGGTTGAATGTATTTAGTAAATCGTGAATGGGTTAATTAACAAAATTTTATTTTGTTTGGTAAGATAAAAATATAAATTTTTTTTCTATATTATACAAGGAATGCCCAATTCTTAGTTTCAGCCATAACTACTCCCTAATTTTGTGATACTAGACATATATGCAAATGGTTATCTTAACAATGTGCTTAATTTTTTTTCATGATAGATTCTCATACCGCCAATATCTTCCAAGGTTGGCTAACACTTATAATAAATGTCACTAAGTGCAAAGGAAAGCAATTTTAAGTAACAAATGTGCAGTTGTGCAGTTTAATCATTTCTTAAGATGCTTTTCCACCCAAGTATAATTTTCAAAGCAATAAGAAAATTACCAAGAGGAGCAGGATTATGACACAGTGTCCACAGGAACAAACGGTACCTCAAAGGCTTTGTCATCCAGGAAAACAAAGACATGACACTTTGATTCCGTGGGTTTGCTTAGGGGCTCGGTTCCAGGGTTCTTGGCACATTGCTAGTTCCCTGTGTCACATGGGAGGCTTTTCTCTGCAAGATGTTTTCGCTATGAAATCAGGCAAGGCTCTAGGGGTAGAAAAGAGAATTTAAATAAAATAAGATGTGGACCCTTACTTTTTTCATACTGTTTTAAAGTGTTCAGATTCGGTTGCTGTTACCTTCCTTGCCCTGCAGAAAGGATGGCCACTGGAAATAGTCATCCAGAGTGCCATAGACCCCTTGCTGTCAGGGCCCAAGCCAAAGATTGCAAATGCATTATACTGGAGTACTCTAACAAAGGAGAGGATGTATGCTGCCTAGGGAAAAGAGATCTTGCTACCTGGATCACAGGATGCCCTTGGTTCCAGAGTTTCTATGCCCATACCTGGCATGTTGGAAACCTCTTAGCACTCTGGTTAAGTTTGACAGTGGGTTTTCACGAACATACAAAACACGTCTTTTATATAATGCTGCAATTGGCAGAGTTCCCTCGAACTAATGGTCCCTGGAAACCAGGTTTTGCTGACTACTCTTGAATAAGATGGCTAGAGTGCTGTCTGTTAGGGTTTCTGTCAGCGACTCTTGTAGTCGATGCTGGTCATGATTTATTTCTGGGCATCATTCTATAGAAAAGACCCTGTGAGAGACAGATAAAGCTTA